TAAAAAGAAATAGTTTCCATGTGCCATGTTTGAAATTGCACATAGGAAAAGATTTTTCTAAAACAATAAATTTGAAGGGTTACCAGGAAATTGCTCATCCTGTTGAGAATCTATCATTAAGGATGTTGTCAAAATGTCCTCTTGAACTTGTTCAAAGGAACGCAGCATTCTCAACATCATTTGATGCATGTGAATGGGGAAATTTTGGAACTCAAAGACAAATATTCAGAAACTTCTTTTATTCATTTAAAACCATGTTGGTGTTTGTGAAGGCTTTTCTATTTTTCCATTTTATTTGAGATTTTTAGATATAAATTTTATTTGGATAGCAATTAAATATGAAGTGGACTAATGTATAGTTATATACTATTTTATGAGTGCTTTTTGGTAACTAAATATTATGACAGCAGTTAAGGATTGAATTTTTTCATCACTCTAAATGACCTGTCAAATTTTATATCTCTACAGTCTATTTTATAGATATATATATTTGTTCGCTAATATTGGCTTTGAAATGAAAACTCTGACTTTTCATAATGACAAACTAAAAAATTGATTATGCACAACAGAAATTGATTTTACTTGAACTTTCAAGTTTAAATATAATGAAAAATAAACTTGTTGAATGTAATAGCATTTTACCTTTATTTTTAGTTTATTCTTTAGGGGAAATTCTCTACTGCCCCCCCCCTTTAGCAGGTCAAAAAGGGGAAAGAAGGTTGATAAATTGACGTTTTTTGGCCCTTTTTATTTTATTCTTTTTTTTTTATTTTATCAGCAGCAGTTTTTACCTACTAGGTTAGAAACTAAATAAATTATAACATGATTTATTTTTTATAAGGAACTGCATATTTTCTACAAGCTTGTAATCATAATTTAAAAATATTTAATTGAAAAGTTATTTTTAATAATTATTATAGAAATATCAAAAAAGCAAGTTTGTGTTTCCATTGCTAATGTATAGAAGTAATGGTGTTGAAAATAAATTCTGAGGTTCTGTCCTAAGTATCAGATTTGTAAGATTTTATCACATGCATAAGAATATGAAATTTATTTCAAACAATTGTAAATAACTGTTCTTGACAATCTAATTATTGAAAAATGTATCATATCCATATATGGACATACATTTATCCTATTGGTAAAACTTGTTTAGAATTACAGAATCATTGAAAGATTACTTTTATGTTTAAGAATAAAATTTAAAATAAGGGATTCTCTGAATGTTGTATTTATTTATTTATTTATTTATTTTTTTTTTTCAGACAGAAGCTATAACAGATAGAGGAAACATAACATAACTGGATAAAGCAAATTTTCACTTCCAAAACACAATTAGTCACTATCATTGTCTATATATTTGCATCAGTGTTGAATAAGAATCTGTATTCCATATTCAAAAAATGTTCACCAATAGAGACAACCTACTTTTACCCCACATTTCAGTGTCACAACTGTATTACATAACACTTAACTGTCCTTATATCCATTGTTTCATCTCCATAATACAGTGGAATGGCAAAAAATTGTAGTGTCAGAGAACTCCGGAAAACACATGCTGTTTAAAAGGAAATAAAACTTCTGGTATTTTGCAAAAAAGAATTCTGTCAAAAACTTCATTCAGTGAAATTTTTATGACCTCTTAAACTTCTAAAATGTTCCAAAGATTTTAAGGTTGTTTTTTTGGTTGCAAAAAATGGGACATCAGTTGATACTTGCTTAGAAATGGATGCTAGGGTGACATAAAAACTTATTTACTGTGGCACTAATGGATCCTAGATCCAGATATATTTATAGTGAAAACCTTTTTGATCCTTATACCATTTATATGAGCATTTGTACTATTTTTATATGAAAATTTTAGAAATTACTGAGAAAACAAGATTTTTGTCATTCATATTTTTTTCAGAAATTTTGGGCAAATAGTGCAAAAATGAGTATAAAAAAAATAATACTTTTTGGGAAGTTTATCATGTGGCCATTTCAAATAAATGAAATTAATTTTGAAATTATATGTATTTTTTGAAAATCTTTCCATGTAAAGAAATCTTTTGGTAAAAAGTATCACTCATTTCATTTTATGTCAATATCAAAACACTACTTCCATTCTTCAAATTAAAAATTCTCACAAGGTATATCTTGGTTTCCAGTTATGTTTTGAGTGTTGGTCAATTTTCTCAATTTGCAGGTTTATTTGAGTGCCCCTACATGTTCTCCCAAGACCTCATTATTTTGTATCATGTCTCAAAGAGTTTCTCTGATAATGATGTTCTACCTCTGAAAATGATATTTTTCTCTGACATCTCATTGATTTTCTTGTGAATATATCAAATTTGAATCTCAATGCTTTATCAACCAATTTTATTGATTTGTTATATTGACTTAGTGTAGGATTGGTAAACAAGACATATATTGAGTATATTAACTTTATAAAAGCACCATTGCATGCCTTAAATTGAAAGATTGAATTTTCAAAGTGAACATATGCTTCTTCAAATAATTTCTGATTGCAATAATTGTGTAATTCATCCCATTTTGAAATAATTTAAACACCACAAGCAATAGATTATTGAAAATAGATGTGTGCTGTATTGTCTTTCAGCAAATTCTCTGAAAAAAATGTTATCTTAAGTATCAAGTGTCATTTAAGTCTTGATAGACACTTGGGTGGGATGGAAAAGGAAATACCAGTGAAGAAAGATGATTTTGATATATAAAAAAAATATGATAAAGAAGCCACTATCAATTTCTGATCAGAAATTTATCACCATCAGCTACAGTTACATCAATAACACCATGGGTCATGAAACTTTTTACCTATTGTCATACTGTTCACATTGGGTGGAGAAGTCAGGGTCTCTTGGTAAACCATTACATAGAGGAACTGAATATGTTTAAGACCTCATATAAATAACATCAATCTTGTTTGACCACAAAGATGGTAGTAAAAGAGGTACTTCCACAGACAGACCTCAAGTGTAATGCTTCTTCTATGAAGAATTGGTAGAATCAATAGGTAAATTTGCTGGGCCTCAGTACAAGGTTCAAATTTTACTTCTTTATAAATAGCTCAGTATCATTTTGTGTGTTATATTCTGCAGTTAGAAAAAAATTATTTCTTTTTTTATAAAATTTGCAGACTTCATCCTGAATTTAAATCATAATGTCCCATGGGACAGATTAAACTATACCTTTCATGGAAGTATGCAACATTCAGTTGTGTTAATAACTTTAAATGATGGTTGTGGTCTGGGTAAGGAAGAGTTGAAAGCAAATACAAAGATATATGTAACTACCTACAGTTCATATCATATGAAAAAAACATCTCCCACAGAACATGTGGAAAAACATAGTAACTGACAGATGTCATGACATTCAGATTCATCTATTATATATAAAATAGTCACATGTCATCCTCTTAAATATTGGTGGCACTGAAGATCACACAATTTGTTTTCATATACCATTCTAACCAAAAGAATTACTTTGACTTTTTTTTTTTTTTTTTTAAATACCAACTTTGAAAACTGCTTTTATTTCTTGATACCCAAGTTTTATAGCGGGAAAAAGTGACAATTATTTATTCAAGCTCACATACTGCTATTATAAGTTTTTGCATTTTTTACCAACAGTTTTACTCACTAGTTAAACATGGTTTACAAAAACTTAACTATTAGATGCCAGTAACAAGGGATACATCATACACCAAAATTTGCATCATTCAGGTACATCATCAATTATGAAATTAATGCCTCAGCCCCCTTTAAATCACTTATTTCCACTCTTACTATTGCAAATTGATTTTGTTTCCATGTTACACTGGTGTTGGCCTAAAGTCAGTGTTACAATGCTATATTTCCAAAACTTTGCATTCTCGCTCACTGTCCTGAATTTTATTGGACACATTTTTCTCACATGGATGAATCCAGTAATACACTTCTACTTCATATGCACTTTCATGTCAGAAGTCATTTTGCTAGAATGCTATCTCTAACCTGGCAAGAAGACTTATTGGTTATTGGTGGGAATGTCAACCTCTACTGCTATATGAACACCACTCATCACTGATGCCATGGGTCAGCATAATAAAATGAGGCATTATTTTTGAAATGATACTTATAGTGCATCATTATGTTGCATTAAGAGTTTTTTTTTTTTAATTTAATTATTGCAAAGAAAAAATTGGTATTGTTTCTGCTGATATTTGTGCCTGTTTGAGAGGAGAAGTAATTCTTAATGATTTTAAATGAATAATGGATAAGATGTTCTTGATATTTAGTATTTCTTTTCTGACCATGATAAGCAAAATATAGAGATGGAACCAATTGTCACTTATGTGATATAATCTTTCATTTTTTTTCATGTTGTGTAAAATTACAAAACCAAAATTATGAGTTCTGTTTGTTTATAATGAAAGAAAGTTTAATTAGACTTTTCTTTTACAATTACTGCTATAAAGAAATTTCTGTATATGCATATACACAACTTGAAATTAGAAATGAGTGTAAGAAGTTACTTGATGATTTAGATAATGTAACAAAATATTAATATTGGAAGAAATTTGTTTATATTTATAATTTTGTTTCATATAAATTTCAGAATAAGACTAATATGTATATGGTTAAAGTGTTTAATAATTTACTACCTCTGTTCTAAGAATTTACTTTACCTACAATATATAGTCTAGAATATTTTATTACTGTATTTTAAAGTGCAAAATTTAGTATGATTAGACAAATTAGACTTGTCATAAAAACTTTTTTCAATTTAAAAGATTTGTTGATGCAAAATAATAACATACAACTTCATCTAGTTATTATTTTTCTTTTTATTATTTTAACACTTTGAGAGGTTTGTTTCTATCTAATGCAAGCACAAGACATAAGCTATACAAACTTGTTTGAATTATCTTTGTTTATATGATTAAAAACTAAACTATAAAACTATGTAAATGCATTTTATGTAATTGTAAATTTATTCTTATTTTTCAGATTTTGAGTATGGATGAAGAAAAGATGTGGTATAAGGCAGAGCAATATGGATTGGAAGGCTACATTCCTTATAACTATATAGAATTGAAGCCACATCCGTGAGTAATGATTCATTTACCTGAAGCTAATGCAGACAAGTTCTTATTTAAAGCATACAGTTAAGATTAATAATATTGCAAGTGCCAAAACCATAAGCTGCTACATAGTAACATTCCTCCCTTTACATGAATAATAATGGTCTGGAGTCTTCTAGATGCTGTAGTCATTGCATAGTTATATCTATCCAGGGTTATCCATAACTGAGTTATTTGTTGGGTGTAACTGCATGCAATTCAGTGAGGTCTGCAACATATCCAACACTCAATGGGGATTAAATTTGGTAAATGCATGACCAGTAAATTCCTTGGAAATCAGTTGAGGGTTTCCAGAACTAGTTTCATGTGTATTTTGCATGAGGAGAGGTTGCATTATCTTACTGGAACAAATTTTCACCACCAGGAAATTTAGCAAGCATAAAGATCTCAACAAGATCTTTGTATATAACAACTCTCAAGAGTGATTCCCAGTTTTACAAGTAGTCTTTATCTTTCCAAACTTCAATAAAACTTACCCCACACTGTTACAGAACTACCACTAGTTTGTACAACATCCTACTAATGAGTTGGAACCATAGCCTCATGCTTTTTTTTTTTTTTTTTTCATACAACTTTACTGTTTTTTTTCAAACAGCTGAAAACAGGACTTGTCTAACCAGACCACACTGTACCAGACTTCCACAGTCCAGTAGTACTTTTCTTTGATTAGTACTCTTCACTTGGTCCAATGTCAGGATGTCACTAATGCTTTGTAGTGCATTGATTGATGGGTTAAGCAGCACCAACTGTTCTTATATAACCTGTGGGTACCCACAATTTTCATGTGCTGTTAATGTCTGTCCAGGTATACTCTTGCCCAAGAATAACCTAGGTTATTTGCTATATTGAAAATAGTGTTTTCTTTCTAACCCTAACTATCATTCCATGGTCAAATGGTGTTAAATCTTTTCCACATTCTATGGATGCTACACTACCTTTTTTATCTATTACATCATGCATTGACATTATCCATCCGAGTTGAGTGAAACTGCTCAATATACATTTTTTACCACTTCACTTTGCTTTCTTATTCTTCAGCCAAAAGAAATGCAAAAAATGTTTTAAGATCTTTTGATCATACTGTCTTATAGGTTTCACAATATCATACATTATTGTTTCTTAAAGATTTCATTTAGCTTCACCCAAGTTAACCGTTTTACTAATTAAAAAAATACAGTCTGGTTCATAAAATGTTTCAAATAATATTTCTTAATTATCAAATACATACATACATATATACACACACACATATATATATATATATATATGGGTTATGACTTTTTGTAAAATAATTGATTTCCATATAATTTGATGAGTTTTTGTTAAAAAAAAAATAATGAAGGGTTTAATTCACATTATATATATATATTTTTTTTTTTTAAATGTCAACCCCCTCTCCCTTTCTAAACTCATATATAAGTATAGTAGTACTATGATATTATTGTACCTTTGAGAATTTGTTTATTTGTAAGTTTGTATGTTATACTATAGCTATAAACTGTTAAGTGTAAAAAATACATAAGTACAATACAATTACATCATTAGCAAATTGAAAATCTGATAAAATCAAATTTTTGGTTTAGGGGTGATCTTTTTCAACAATACCTTTTTCATTACTTTTTGAACAAAAGCTGATTGATTTAGAAACATAGGGCTATGACTTTTTCGTATACCTAATAAATGTGTATATATATATATATATATATATATATATATATAGTGTGATAAAAGTTATGCTATATTTATGTGTAAAAGTGCTCAATGTCAGAGATAGTGCATATGTAAATATAAAAGTGAACACTGATATCAACACCGGGAGTGAGAGTGGACAGTCTGATTCATGCTTCAATGCAATTTTCAAGCCATGGGTGTTGTGTTTTGGCTTTTCTATTTATGTGTGTTTGTCAATGATGCATTATGAGTAGTAAAGTTTATTGTATTATCCTGATAGTCATTGGTTTGATTCTAACAGTTATGTTTCAAATCATTCTAGAGGCTATGGAGTATAAATAATTGTAGATCCAAATGCAGTTTAACTTTTTAATCATTATTTATTATTAATTACTTGTTAATTATTTGTTGTTTATTATTATTACATTTATTTGTGTTTATATGTTCATTTCTAGTTTGTTAATTTGTTTATTTATATTTTTTGTTTATTATATTTAATTTTTCCTTTTTTCTTATTTGTTTAAAGTATTGGCTTTGCTTATACAATGCAGATAATGTAACATACTTTATAGTTCATATATTTGCATTTTTCATAGTGGTATTTTACAAGGTATTCATTTGTGGATTTTGATTTTTAAATAACAGTAAAAATTTGTTTTCATGTCTGCATTTTGAGATGAGTTCTGATCATTTATTTAGTAATTTGTGTTGGTCTGGAAAGGTGATTATAGCTATTTCCTCCTCCAGACAAAGTTTTCTGTTTTTTATTATTTTAAGTTGATGCTGTTTTCCTTATTTTCTATGATATTTTTGGTGTAATTTGTTTTTATTTTTCCCATATATATATATATATATATATATATATATATATATAGCATTGTGTTATTCGAATATTTGCTATTTGTAAAGGATGTTTTGTCCGAGTAGTTTCTGTTTCCATAGTCCTTCAATTACTCCTATGCATATTTTTTCCTCATTATCTGCTGATTTTATAGTGGCTTGGTATATTATATCGTTTTGCAAGCAATTGCTATTTAAGGGACAATTTTTTCTTTGCTCTGCACTTACAGATGGGTTTGGTATGTGCAAATGGTTTATTTTTATGTTGTGTTTTTATTGTGCCATGTTCTCAGTGCAACTGTAACTAATTTTACTGTTTTTCTATTGAATATCTTGTGGAGAGTGCTTGATGGTTGGTGGGGAGTGTTTGCGTCCGAGTTTAATGAATATTTTTCCCACATTTGATTTTAGGTTTTTTTTGTATGATGGGTTGAACCAGATGCTGACTATTTTCATACTATGAGGTGTGTAGGTGAGTGCTGCCAAAAATCTACTATTTTAAATAATGGATTTTTGGCGACACTATTTGTCTTCCATCAGCATGGATAATGCTAACCTCCAGGAAATTAACACATTGCATCTTCTCGGTCTGTTTTCCATTGATATAAATTTGAATGATTATATGAAGTTAATTGTTAAGATTGCTGCTAAGAAAGTTAGTTCACCATGTTGTGCTAGACAGTTTTTCTCCCCCAAATCAGTCTTGCACCATTATAAGTCTCATTCATCCATGCATTGAATTTTGTTGCTACATCTGGTCTGGTGCTTAGGGATTCTTGAATAAATCCAAAGAAGAATCTGCATTGTTACCAGAACTGACCTAGAATCAATCAATTTCTCACTGTCCTAATTTAGCTTAGCTGTGCCTTTTCTATAAATATTTTCATGGCAATTATTTTAATGAGCTTTCCTCTTTGGTATGACAACTTCATGAATTTAAGCATAATAATAGATTGGTAGCAAGGTCTCATCATTTCACTGTTGAAATTGCTTGATATAACTGTAAGTTTTATTGTAATAGTTTCTTCTTTCAACATAACTCTTTTCCAGCTTCTTCCTTTCCTATCAGCTACAATCTACAAAATTTTAAATACATTATCAATCATCATCATCATCTATTGCCTTGAATCTTGTTCTTTTTATTGTCCTTTTCCCTCAGTGCAGTTTTTTTTTTTTTTTTTTTTTCAGTTTCTTTCACTCTCTGTAACTCCTTGCATATTAATGACTATTACTTTCTTGGAGTGAAATTATTAAAAATAAAAAAAGGACCCAAAGAGGATATACAGTATTGTTAATATACTCCTTATTATTTTAATTTATGCTCACATTGATCTGTATATGTGATCATTTATTTTTTCTTTTTTAAATTGTGTGCATTTAATCTTGAATTGAAATACATAGTTGAAGATGTTGCAATTTTATTTTCTATTGGGGCATTTGATAGCCAAATTGCTTTCTGTGTAATTCACATGCCAAAAATATAGTTTGATTATCTAGTCTAGTATTTCATTGTCATCCATGGAAAATATCTGCAGCCAAGTTGGTTAATTGTACAAATTAACAAGTAGTTAATGATTGTATACTTAGTGACTATTTGTTAAAGCCAAAGCTAGCTTAGATTTTAGACATCCTGTTTCATTAAGGTCTTTATAAACACATGCAGTTTAAAGAAAAAAAAGTGTATAATAATTACAAAAGAGGGTGCTGAAAATGTCTGTATCTAATCAAGGGGAAAAAAAAATGTATGTTCATTTGTTCTAATTTTGGGAAGTAGATTGGACCAAGAAATTTTCAGTAACTTCTCATGCATGCATGCACATATACAGATTTATTCAAAAAGAATGAAGTGATTTCATTACGCAATATTTTAATAAGTAAAAGCAATAGAAAACTCTAGCCAAGTCACAAGTATTCTACTCACAATCAACTTTTATTACCTGTCTTACAGGTGTTCAATGTGGCCACCACCTGCAGCACAGGCAACATCAATGCAATAAAAGAATTCCTCCCAGACATGTATCAGTATATCATGATACACTGAGTTGATCGCTGTTGTTATTCGATTTTAAGGTCATTGATGTTAGTAGGTATATGTGTGACATAAACATGATCTTTTATATATCCCACAAGAAAAAAAATCACACATGGTTGGGTCTGGGGATCTTGCAGTCCAAAAACAAAAAGAGCAAGGTCTTGGTAAGCGCTTGAACGAGGCATAATTTATAAGGTTTCAAATGTAGACGTTGTTTTAGCACACGCCAGATAGTGGATTGAGAGATTGCAAGTTCATGGCTAGCTTGATTTGTAGACTTCCATGGACTCCTCAAACACAGCACAGATTCTCGCCACTTGTTCCTTCGAAACTTGTGATTGTCTTGAACTTTTTCCTTTACACAGACACCCACTACTCTCTTAAAACTGGTTAAACTCCTGTTGAATGTTTTTAGAAGAGG